TTTAGTATTTTTCCCTGGCTATTTAACGGCAATATTGAATTTGACCTTGAGTGTGAATGTGGAGGTCATTTAAAGGTCAAGTTAATTTTTTTAAATGGGAACCACTATTTTTTATCGCAGATTTGGAAAGAGCGGAAAATTTCACGTCCGAATATGACCTTGATAATGATCTACAGTTCAATGTCAAGGTCGTTTCAAAGTGAAAGTTCCAGACGTCCATTACGACAAAATATCACGGCGGGATTGCTTTGTTTGGAAAAATGTTAGATGCATAAGTTTCAGTATTTCGAGTTGGCTTCCTGGTGGTGACCTTGAAAGTAACCTTGGAACCAAGATTAGGGGTCATTTGAAGGTCAAAATATTTTTCTTAATGGAACCAACTATCTTTGAATCCGGGATCGAAAAGAGCGGTAAATTCTGCGTTCAAACATATCATTTTGTAATTAAAAATAATTTCATCCACTCAGGCTTTAATATTTTAAATAAGTGTTCCAGATGTGTCGGTCGTGCAGATTCTATGGATACTTGATCAACCTCGAGAATATAACCGTAGGCGAATCCAGAGCGATCGCGCTTGCGTCAAAGTTCGCAGCGTCTTCGACCCATCGAAATTTAGTTTGGCAGCGGTTGACATATTGCCTATCCGTACAGATTATTTATGTCGTAGTACATAAGATACGACGATGGTTTCGACGAGTCGTACGAACGCATGTATTCGTTATTAGCCTGCGCGTATCTGTCTGAACATTGACTGAGGTTACCGCGTATACCGCGCTCGATGAATAGAACCATATCGATGTCGGTGAGCAAATCTTACGCGCATATGTTTCAACATGGCGTCCCACGTGACACCCGGCAAGGTGTATTAATGCGCGGGATCGAGATTGTAAGTCGCGATACAACTTTCGCGGAAATTTTCGAAAATGTCAGCTAATAACAGGACATCAGTTTTCAAGTACAGATCACTGTACTCGCCAAGTAGAGAATCGCTTCGAATAGAAAATCGCTGCCAGATGTTCGCGGTATGAGTGTAATCGCTCTCGGATACGGTGTCGCCTGTCAACGAATTGAAAAATGATTCACGCGATAGTAAACGCGTGTCCTTTAATTTTTCGACGCAGTCAATATACGGAAAGACGCCTTTATGTGTGAGAAGATCAAAATTCTCCGCGTTGAATTTGCAAAATTTTGATTGTAATTTTTAGTTTTTTTTTTATCGAGATACGACACCAATCTATCGAGGCTTGTACAATAGAAATTTGGAAGAATCGATGAACCATAATTTTACAATTTTTCTGAAAATTATTTTTATTTTTATCTTTGATGCTACCGACATGTTTAGTGAATGAAATGAATTTTTCCTTCGTTATCGGAAGGAGGTCTACATTTCCATCGTACGCGGTAGCAATTTCTTTAATTATAAACTGCGCACTGTAACCCGATAAATTATGAAATACAACCGGAATATAAAACGAATTTTTATAATTTAGGTTACAATTTGAATGTATTGGACTGTGGTATCTACCGGTGATGGCAATGCTCATGTATCCGCGAGTCATTCGGCGCGAACGGTTTCTCGCAGATGTGACAACGCGTCGCGCTACGGTAGAGGGGAGCGCGGGGCGCGGGAGGTACTCGTAGGCGCGGGAGGGAAAGCAAGGAGGATACTCGTAGGCGCGGAGGAAGGCGCGGGAGGGGGAGAAGGTGTGGAAAGGTTCCGGCGGCATCGCTGTCATAGGACCCCGGTCGATTGATTACATAAACAATGCATTCCTTATTTTTTTTTCGTCATCCGCCGCCGCTGCCGCCGACGCCGCCACCACCCACTCTAGCCTCTCCAAAAAATGTGTAAGTAACAAGGGCTCGCATGTTAGAAAAAGATAGAGTGTGCACGACGATGTCGGAGCCGTTAAGAAAAGCGTTGATGCTGTTTATATAAACATATCAATGAAGTGTGAGAAATATAAACTAGAATCGCTCGCAATGTTGCCTTATCTACTTCTAAAGAAAGTGATGATCCAATAGACAAAGGGGCAAAGAAGTCACAAATGAAATATATATAATAATAGGTTATAAGTGCTCAGTTCCGCAGTTGGTGTCCTGGAAGACGAACGAATCGATAACAATAAGAATAATGGAAAAAGTATGGCTGACCTTTATGCAGACATTGAGGACATGGATGATGTGAATACAGACAGGTTATTTGAAGCAATGGAAATAGAATTTGAGGATATAATGGATCAAGAGTCGTCTAACGAAAAAGTACAATCTAACGATACTGAATGTCTTATTGGGTTCAGCGATGGCAATACGGATCACGCAGAGAAATTTGTGCAGCCTTCGGAAATCCATGTGTTGAACGGTCTTACTAAGCACTGCATAATCTGCTATTATACAACGTATGATGAGATCTCAGCTTGATGTACACTATGTATGATTTATTTGCGAAATATTGACGATAAAGGAATGTATCTCATCAGGAAACACAAAGAATGTTCTTTTTATATACTAGACAGCAGGTGGTCGTGCTCGGAATGTGGAGAGCCGGTGTAGATTGTATTCCCATGCAGTGTGTCCACTCTGCGCATATTGAAAAACTATTAGTGCTCCGTGGAAGAGTGTGAAGTGATCTAAAGAAAAAAAAAGACATGAAAAATCATGAGCGACTGGAATGCGAACTGTTTGAGCAGTGCGGTCAGGTCACTACTCTGGTGGAGTGTTTCGCGTGGCTGTAACGATGCGACGAGTGCATTGAGCGGCTCGAAGAGCGCTTTACGCGATGGTACGCGAATCGCGATGAAAGAGTCGTCTGGCGGGAGATCGACGCCGCGTTTGAAAGCCGTATATTGACGGGTGCTGTGGTCAACGTGGATTACATTGAGCCGCAACGGTTTTTGGAAGACGCTGGAGAAATAGTACTCGAGCGTGTGCGAGACGCTGTAGAAAGACACGATAGTGTAAAAGTGAACAACGCCGTTTACGGCGAGTTTGCGACGAAGGATAAACGTGCTAATAAGAGCATAATTAAAAGAACATTGAGATATACCATTACACCGATTTGAGCGAATGGTACGAGCAGCATATCATCGAGTCCACGTTGACATCACTCGAAGAGTTCCAGGAATGCGACAGCGGGTGGGCATTGTCGCGAATCCTCAATTTGACTATCAATGTGAACAAACTAAATTTCATGCGCGCGAGATGTTACTTCGAAGTGCCGCGGGAAATAACGAAACGAGCGGTGATCAATGTCAGTACGACGGACAATGCGTGCTTCGCGTGGTCTGTGGTCGCCGCACTGTATCCGGTTGAAAAGCATACGGAGCGAGAGTCATCGCATTATACGTAGGCTGCTGGAAAAGTTTCTGCAAATATGAAAAAAATATTTAAAATTCGGTAAATGGCTTTATTGTTTTTCGAAGTATTTGCCTTTAAAATCGATACATTTTTGCATATGCTCGAACCAATTTTCGAAGCATTTTTTTCACCTTAAGGCTGTAATTTCAGAAATAAGTGTACGAAAAGCTTTCAACAGCTATTTTAGACGACTCAAATCGCTCACCGCATCTTATTTTTAATGTTTGGGAATAAAAAGAAGTCATTAGGTGATAAATCAGGTGAATACGGATAATGAGTCATCAATTCGACATTATTACTGGATAAAAAATCAACGGTTTGATGTGCTGTGTGACAGCCGGCGTTGTCATGATAAAAGATGATGCGACGATTTCGGTTTGTTCTACGCAATTCATTTATGACTTCTGGCAAACAAATTGTTGTATACCGATCAGTATTTACAGTCCTTCGATCTTCTAAAGCAGCGGTTGTAACATATCCGGTATAACCGAAGAAACAAGCAATCATTTGCTTGGCAGCACTGCGTGAACGAACAACTTTTGTTGGTTTCGATTCATTTTGAAATACCCAAACAGTGGATTGTTGTTTATTTTCGGGCTCATACGACTAGATCCATGTTTCGTCCCCAATAACGATGTTGTGGACCAAATTTGACCGACCTCGGTTGAATTTCTTGAGCATTTCTTTGTTCCATTTAACACGAACCTGTTTTTGAGCTTTGATCAAATTGTGTGGGATTTAACGACTGCAAAGTTTCCGTACGCTCAAGTGATCATGCAAAATCGTATGTATTGCTTTCATGTCAATGCCTAAGGATGCCTGAATCTCGCGGTATGTTATATGCCGGTCTCGCTCAATCATTTCACGCACAATCTCAACATTAGTGGCAACAACAGACGTGGATAGACGACCTTCACGGAATTCATCACTAAGAAAGGTACGTCCACGATAGAATTCGGCAAATCAATTATAAACAGTCTTATTGGATGGTGCTTCATCCCCAAAAGCCAAATGAAGCCGATCGATGCATTGTTTCGGAGTTAGATTACATTTGTAATCATAAAAAATCATTGCCTGAAAATTTTCACGCGAAATTTCCATTTTCTTACAAAATAATTTCTTTTAAAATACTATGCAAACACAATTAGTTGGCTTGGGTACAAACTGTCAATTGAATTATAGGTTAAAAACATCTAATTTTATCGATATGATAGTAGCCGAACGTTGGCGCCACTGGAAGTACTAGATTGCAGAAACTTTTCCAGCAGCCTGCATACGACAGTGTTGAATCTCGCGGGTATCGAATTTCCAATGACATTAAAAGATATTTCTAAATTCGAACGGTTGAACGCGGTGTCGATCAATGTATATGGTATCGAGAATAAACAAGTCCTTCCTCTACGGCTCACCAGTGACAAGAAGGAGAAACGCGTTAACGTGCTGTACATGCAAGATCCACGCGACGACAGTGTCGGCCACTTTGCGTGGATAAAAAATCTGTCCCGTCTCGTAAGATCGCAAATTAGGAACAAGAAATTTTTCTGCGACCGTAAGTACACATGAAAAAATTATTATAATTTTCCGTCTTGCTAATAAAATAATGGTAGCAGTTATAATTTTTTTGGTTTTTTAGATGCTTGCATTACTTCGGTACAAATGAGAAATTGCAGTTGCACGTATTGGACTGTAGGAAAATCAATGACTGCGCTATCCGATTGCCGAGCGAGGACGAAAAGTGGCTCGAATTTGGGAAACACTGCAACAAGGAGCGCATCCCATTCGTCGTCTACGCCGACCTGGAATGCGTTTTACGGAAGACGGAACCCAACAAGGAATACATGTCGTCATCGTACGCGTATTAACAGCAATAATGCGTATTCAGCATAGGCTACTACGTATGTTGCTCGTACGATGATGCGTTATCATCGTATCACTTCCGTCACGATGAAGACTGTATAGTGTGATTCGCGCGACAACTCAACGATTTGGCGCATTGCGTAAAAAATATTGTATTCGCCAACGTGCCCATAGAAACGTTTTCAAAAGAACAATGAGAGGCATACCGTAGCGCGACGCGTTGTCACATCTGTGAGAAACCGTTCGCGTCGGACGACGCGCGCGTACGTGATCATTGCCACTTGACCGGTAGATACCGCGGTCTAGCGCATTCGAATTGTAACTTAAATTATAAAAATTCATTATATATTCCGATTTTCATAATTTATCGGTTTCAGAA